TGGCTATTTGACATATCACTGTATCAACAACTCAACTCACAGCTCGCACTGACCTCGAGATGGTACAGGAACGCCTGGGAATCTGGGAAGATTCAAGTAAGGTCATAACAAAGGAATTGTTTGTTGCATAGATCCATCATCTCTAAATATTGGCCGTTTAGGGTTATGATTAAAAGATTTAGGAACGTTACACTTATCAGACCACATTCGTGGTCTAGTGGAGCGCCCGGCGCTCGGCTTATTAAAGGGGCTCAAACAAGGACTGATATGCTCCTCGATTGACTGGCACTAAAAAATACGGCATTAATCCGGACAAGCGGTCATACTCTCAAACACACACGTGCATGCACGTTGCTGGAAAAGTAGAAAAAATTTGAACGCGCCATTAAACCCCAATTCACTTCACCTTATACTGACATTGCCTGGTACCGATACTCTAGTTACATGCGCACGGGAACAGAAAAACATCTCTGCGAGGACTGGGAGAATATGAATGCAGTTTTGCTTCTGACATCCAAATATGCGCTAACAAGCAATTATTTTGTGTTGGACCTTAACTGGAATAAGACTAGCTATTTGCGACATGGCGCATCACATTATTGGAAATATACTCACCGTCAAAAGAAATATCAAATAATTGGGAATATACTCGCCGTCAAAAGAAACGCAAACCATAGAAACCAAGAGAAGTATGTACGTTAAGAAGATACCACTTAATGACACAACTAACATTCAGTCAAGTGTTACCCATCTTCCCGAGGCAAGGGAGTTAACTGACTATGAAAGTTCAGTTTCCACCCTTGCCGAACTAGGCTGGTATTATGGAGTTCGGTTCCGAACTGTCGGTTCCGGTTCGTAAACTGTCATGCAGATTTCGGTCGATTGCGGGATTTGCACAGCATGTGCACCGCCACCTCGTTGTCAACAGATATTTTCCAAATCTTGTCAAGTTTTTAATCAAAGTGCTCACGTGATCCCTTCGCGATGTAAGACTCATTTTATCACAATATTAATCTTGGTTATCGATCAGATCGTCTTGACTGCGCGCCTCCATTTTGTTTGAAACAAATGCAAGTTATACGAGAGGTTGAATTTGATTGGTCCATAGGAGAGGCGTAGAAAGGACTTAACTCGTAACAGCCACTGGTGGCGCTACGATCGAGCCCAGGAATTCCAGCCTAGTTCAGCAAGGGTGGAAACTGGACTTAAGTGAGTTAACTCCCTTGCCTCGGGAAGATGAGTGTTACCAGTGTCCTTATTTTTATCACGATATGCTGCACGTGATTTCCAAACTTTACACGCTAATCTTACACGAGACAAATGGTGCATCTCGAGTCATGGATCTATGACGTCATATATGATGCGTTCACGAGCGTCGGTTCACGCAACATAACAGCATCTTCGTTTGTGCATCTAACTAATCTAATATCGAGTAATTCGTCATATATTAACCAACATGTATTGTATTCGCGTTTCTTTTATTGGTGAGTAATATAAACCAGTTGATAATTTTATGTAAAGCTTGTGATCAATTATGATGGAAAGGAAAACATTGTCTTGGGACACGAAACAATTACCGACACGATGGGACGAGTAGTAGTTTGAACAGTGGAAATGATTTTATACAAATATACATTCCTATATATCATCCTATAACATTAACACAAAACCCTCCGATCTGGAATTCAATTTGTTTACAAGCTCCAATTAGCCGAGAGGATTAATCAACCACAAAGTTTATATCACCCACACGTGTGTGCAAGTACATGTATTTGTACAGGTGAGCTCCAATTAGTGATGCCAACAGTTATCTGATGTTATAACCATGCCATTCACCGTGGATATTTTCTTCAGCAAAATATCACAGCTGTAGTTTGTGTCGAGCCAAACATCCTTTACACAGTTTACTAGGCAATACTAACATGGCATAGTGTAACGAAACGACTGTTGTTGTGGTAACAACATGATGTAACACAATCAAACAGATGTCTTTAATCTCCAAATGTTGGCTGTGATACATGTATGAACAAAACTGCAGCATGCGCGATCGTGGTAAACAATGTTTATTGACACAGGAATCCGACAACAGCTTTGGGGAATTACGTGAGTTAGAGAAAGTGATAGTGTGAGTGAGAGTGAGAGTGAGATTGAGAGTGAGAGTGTGAGTGAGAGCGTGAGGGAGGGTGAGTGATAGTGTGGGTGTGAGGGTGAGTGAGAGTGTGAGTGAGAGTGTGGGTGTGAGGGTGAGTGAGAGTGTGAGTGATAGTGTGGGTGTGAGGGTGAGTGAGAGTGTGAGTGAGAGTGTGGGTGTGAGGGTGGGTGTGAGTGAGAGTGAGAGTGAGAGTGTGAGTGTTAGTGTGGGTGTGAGTGAGAGTGTGGGTGTGAGTGAGAGTGATAGTGTGAGTGTGAGTGATAGTGTGGGTGTGAGTGAGAGTGAGAGTGTGGGTGTGAGTGAGAGTGTGAGTGAGAGTGAGAGTGAGAGTGTGGGTGTGAGTGAGAGTGTGGGTGTGAGTTAGAGTGAGGGTGTGAGTGAGAGTGTGGTTGTGAGTGAGAGTGAGAGTGTGGGTGTGAGTGTGGGTGTGAGTGAGAGAGTGAGAGTGTGGGTGTGAGTGAGAGTGAGAGTGGGTGTGAGTGAGAGTGTGGGTGTGAGTGAGAGTGAGAGTGAGAGTGTGAGTGTGGGTGTGAGAGTGAGAGAATGTCAGTAGGAACATACACAAGACATATTGCACGTTAGAATATTAAACAGTGTATATTACAAAAGTTAATATTATATACAAACGATATGCTAAATATGTAAAGTAGTGTTAATCATAATGTGGACCATTTAACAGGAATCCATATTGCTACAGAAACATTCTTGTATAATTCAAATATAAAACGTTTGTTTCGTAACAACGCCAGGTCCTTGTCTTGTTTGAATACACAGTTACAACATTGCCTTCAAATGCAAACAACATTTCCTTAGGTCAACACTCTTCCAGCACTGATATATACTCCTTGTGATTAACACATGGTCATCACACAAGGGGAAACACATATACTACATATCCCCTCATAGGGACAGTCCTGCCATTCCACTCAAGCGAGAGATAGTCAATGAATTTGAAGCAATCAGTCGTGTAACTGCCGTTCGGATTGCCTCGTGTTACCCTTTTCGAGGATGCACGATAGGGAAACACATTCCGACTGTCACTTTTGCAACGCTCACTTTAAGCACTTTAAGCGACGCTCTAATTGGTCGGACGAAAGGTCTTTCTGACGTGACCTAAAATGGGATTTCCTCAGACCAATTTGTCGCGGTAGTATGCATCAACATCTGATTATAAGGAGACTGACTTCATCAGAGAGGTCCATAAAGATAACTTTAAGAGTGTGTTTATATATTGTATACTTTACTGGAAAGGTGCAGCATTATTGACTCAACATCAGGCAGCCATCACAGCTACAACCCTGAATCAATTGGAAAGATCCAGGGAAAGACTGACTATTGACGACTCACTGAAGAGAATTTTAACATGGCGACGGAGGCTCCATTTTGAATCTCGAATAGTGAAAACTCGTATTGGAGCATCTGGTGAACATTGACGTCAATTAAAATGGTAATAACTTTGGTGAAACGCAAATTCGTTTCGAGAACCCCTGATGTCATTAATTTGTTTGGGCTGGTTTCTGATTCTGTTGCATTTGACACTCAACTGATATACACAGCGTGTTACATTTGACACTCAACTGATATACACAGCGTGTTACATTTGACACTCTACTGATATACACAGCGTGTTACATTTGACACTCTACTGATATACACAGCGTGTTACATTTGACACTGTACTGATATGCACAGTGTGTTACATTTGACACTCTACTGATATACACAGTGTGTTACATTTGACACTCTACTGATATACACAGCGCGTTATATTTGACACTCTACTGATATACACAGCGTGTTACATTTGACACTCTACTGATATACACAGTGTGTTACATTTGACACTCTACTGATATACACAGCGTGTTACATTTGACACTCTACTGATATACACAGCGTGTTACATTTGACACTCTACTGATATACACAGCGTGTTACATTTGACACTCTACTGATATACACAGCGCACAACATGTGTAAAACCAGTGTGGCCATCCGGTGAATTGAGTCGATCGTTAAGCACAGTTTTAAACATGTTGGAACACCGTTAAAGACAATGATACCGCTGCAGCTGCTTAGAAAGTAGCCAGGCGTTTCCCACATTGGACGCAGTAGAACTGCATGGTAACGAGACGCTCACGCTGATATAGAGTGCCTTGTCGTCTACCCTGTCTAGTCCTGTTCAGCTGTTATAAGTTGCAAACCGGTGAAGACTCCCCAACACTGCAGCCTTCTGCGTTACCCAGATTGTCAAAAGGGCTGTAATCCTGGTAGCTAGCCCGGGTACTCTCCAAATGTCAGTCAACAGATTGGGAGGTACCAAACCTAGGGCACCGAGAACAATGGGGAGTCGGACAACTCATAATACGAATACTAACAATGGTGTTGTTGATTGGACAAAACAAGAAATTCAGGGCGTAAGGGCAACCTGACACGAAGAATCATGTCTGGCAATAAATCCAATCACCCTCTCAATTGCTTAGATTTACATGATGGCGTGGCTCGATATTACCGTCATAGTCATGCTTGTGGTTTTGAGGTCCGTCAATGGTGCGACACAGAATATGTAGAGGGCGTCATGGAAAATAGTCAATACAAATTTGGGGGGAATAGGCCCGTATACTGCCTCAGACCTATCCAAGCCAACAAACCTGATCTTGTCCCTTTTGATAAATCCAATGAAATAATTTATATTATTAAATTGTCTGTCCCCTTTGACACTTATGTGATTGACATAGTTCAGAAATGTCACTCTTGCATCCCAATTACCAAGTTGTCCGACTCCCCATTGTTCTCGAGATCGGTGCCTTAGGTTTGGTACCTTCCAATTTGTTGACTGACATTGGGAGGGTACCTAGATTTGCAGCCAGGATTACAGCTCTTCTGTCAATCTGGGTAATGCAGAAGGCGGCAGTGTTAGGGAGTCTTCCCATTCTCCGAGAAGTTCTGGGTGGGTTGGACTAAGCAGCTCTTCCCGGGAGAAGTCCCATTTGCTGTCTGGGCTGCGTGTAGAGGGGGCAAGGTCCCCGAGCTGATGATGAGCCTAACCAACCTGACTGTACCAAGATATAACCCAAACCCTTTTGCTGCATTAATTTATTTTAATCTGTAAATAATAATAATAATAATAATAATAATAATCCATGTAAGTATAAAACGTAGTGTGGTGACATGTATGTAGAGTTTGATACAAAGTTAGTTTAAATGTTTCAAATCAACACGTAGATGTACTGATTTCTACTAATATGCTAACGAAACATCAATATTGGATAACCAATAATCCATATATATTTCAAGATTAAAGTAACACTTCATAGAGATAATAGATAGTCATAATCAGTTATTATTAAAATGTGAATACAGCACTGAGTGTATTTGAAAGACATTATTACACAGTACAATTGGATCTCAAGCTGGACCAAGTCAGACAAACATGTATGAGTTTTTGAACGAACTGAATATGTCGGATTAGTAATATAAGAAGGGAATTACAACTTGATTAAGGACAATAGACTGTGTGTCTGTCATAAATAACACGTATTAACCAACAAATAGTCGTCGTATAAATAGCACTAATTATACTGGGCAATCATAATCAACATTGGTATTTGTCTGATGTCATGGTAATGACTAACAGAAATATGTTCATATGGCGAGGCAGGAGTCATCATTCTAAAGTTGCATTCAGTACTGCAGTAACTATTGGTACTGCCACATGTGTTTCGAGAGTGAATCAGGTCATGCCATCTATGTCTGGCTGATTGCAGTGTTGAACTGATGACACACACGTCCCATTCCTGTCATTAGCAGTTTCTGAACAAACATGAATGTCGATGATATTGGCGTTGCAAATTTTGTCGTCCTTGTACATTTTTCCAATGAAAACCGAATCTTTGGTCCACGTGATCAAATTATTTATCCATCTCTGAAACGTTTCTTTTTTGTGCCAACAAACTCATTTTTTCCAAGAAAACGTTCCTGTGGCGTTCGATTTGATTCCCTGTGAACTGAAACAACCTTTTTCATCTCGTCACAACATGCTTGTGATTCCCTCACATTGATATCCCTGAATCAATTGAACATGTGATGCATGTTCCCTAAAAGGCGGTCTTTCTTTTATCATGCACACAAACTCTCGCAAACAAACAAACGATAGGATGCTCAAGAATATTTCTTTGAATCCGAAGTTCGTTATTCACTTCAGTGTCACTTCTGGAGGATTAGAATTGGTTGGGCCCATTCGACTGTTCCCTAAATCGACTTCGTTACATCCGGAATAATGGGAAGTAACGCTATGCATATTTTGAACAAAGCGAACTTAACATGAGACGAAACTCTTTCATTGTCTTTAAAAGCGTGAAATGGAAGGCATTCGAAACCCCAGTTTGGGGACAACGGGCCTTGTCAATACACTAGGTCTGGATCACGTGATAGAATCGACACACTAGGTCTGGATCAAGTGATAGAATCGACACACTAGGTCTGGATCAAGTGATAGAATCGACACACTAGGTCTGGATCACGTGATAGAATCGACACACTAGGTCTGGATCACGTGATAGAATCTACACACTAGGTCTGGATCACGTGATAGAATCGACACACTAAGGGACTTTTGCATCAGTGTTTCTTACGTTTTTCTCCAGGGTCGTGCCATCTTCTGTTCAAAATAACCACATGTGATATAATATAACAAGAGAAGAAAACGACAACGTGGAAAACTGGTACATTGTAAAATGCTTCAAAACACTCTTTATAACTAGTTGAGAACCAGGAATATACTCTTACTACATCAGACAGGATACGACTATGGTGATATCCGTTAATTACATACTGCTTGGACAGCTTACACACAAAAGAAACGCACTATGTCCGTTTTTAACTCTTAAAATGAAATGGTTTCGCCAGTCGATTGGATCCACCTCATTACCCTCTATACAACTAAATGGGTTTGTGAAAATGCCATTAGTATATATGAGATAGAACAAATGTTATATACAACCAGTGGCGTTTTGTCTTGAACGTTTAGCAATCCATAAGAACAGCGTGCTAGGATTAGTCTTTCACTCAATGCGATCAGTATTTGTCCCGCAGCCTAATGCTTGGCAAAATATCAACCCATCTTTCGCGTATACTCTCTGAACTCCCTCGGGTATGTTTATAGTCCCTTCAAGTAAGTTTGCAACCTTTTCTATCGCAAATGGTAGTAACATGAACACTTCTTTGTTTAAGAGCATTAGGCTGCTGATTGGCTATTCAGCAACGCTATTCCTGGTGTCCTCTTAGAACAATTTTTCATATAATAGGTAAACTTGTGAATACAATATAAGCAACCATTGCCAGCATGTGTATAATTGTAATTGTTCATGCAGGATGTAATTTTAGAAATGATGAATCCGTAGACGACATGAACAAATTTCTAACGTCGTTCAAAATACAGTACGGTTATAACGAACTCAAAGGGACTACTAATTTTAGTTCGTTATAACCGTAGTTCGTTATAAGCATATTTACAGCTTAACTACCGCAAATAGTCGGGACCAAAAAGTAGGTTCGTTATATCCGTCAGTTTGTTATAAGCGTGTTCGTTATAACCGTAGTTTACTGTACTTCAGAAATACTCACGTTCTGTGAGGGGTCAAGTTCGGGGACCTCATATGCGAGAAATTTGATACATCTGTATATACTGACATGCTTTATAATGCCATGCGGCGTTTCGAGTGACATGCTGTGTTTCAAGGGCGGGTTATATCATTTAACAATATCGCAACTTCATGTCCGTTATTCAGTTATGGCCTGATGAGACTCATACGTGGTACGAGTTGAACGCGCTAGCCAATAAAGACTGTGTTCAATCTTACTCCACTTATCTAATTATTACTTTATATATATTTTTTTTAAATTTACTGAAATATTGGACATCAGGGATGTCTCCGTTACGAAGTCTCAGGAAATCCTAACAACCTGCGTGGGGCCATCAGAGGATGTAGAGGCCCTTCTTCTTCTCCCACACAGTATTGTTTTGAATGCGTTGTTAAAGTGATGATTCTGCCAGGCGTAGATGATGCAATTCATCCCGGAGTTAAGGAAACCTAATATCACGGTAAAAAATACGAGAGTCTTGGGAACATCCGCGAAGTATCCTACAAACACGAGCGTGAAATTGGGGAACCAACACGCTACAAATACACCGAAAACCAACAAAAACACTTTCACAGATTTCCAGTCGTTTGCACTGGAGACGACAGGATTCGAGGAGCCTGACAGTTGTGACGCTCGTCGAGCCAACGCTTCTCTTTGGTGGGCCAGTGCCTTCTTGACGATGTACCCATAGAAGAGCGCAGTGAGCAGCAAACAGAGGAAGAAGCCAGGGATAAGCCCGTACAGTCGAAAAACTCTTGTCAAGACCTCGAAAGAAGTACAGTCATTGTTCCAATGATATTCCCAAAGGGGTACCATTCCAACTAGAATGGACGCTACCCAAGTACCCGCTATAACAATTCCAGCCTTCCTGTGAGACGTTATGCTCCTGTAATGGAGGGGGTATTTGATGAACAGGAAACGATCAAAAGCAATGACGACCATGCAAGCAATTGACTCCGCCACGAACAGATGAAACAATGCATACCGACTGAGACACATGTACTTGTTTGCGTTCAGTTTTTCTTGAAGAGAGGGAAAGAAGGAAATAGCGTAATATGGGATGATGGCACCGGTTAAAAAGTCCGCCACGGCTAAAGAGACTACGTACATATTGGGTACTGTTCGCAATGCTGGTGTCCGTACTACGGCCATGATTGTCAACAAATTGCCACCTAAAATAAACACCAACACGGCGATGAAAAGAACTACCAACATAATCTGCTGAGTCATGGATATGTCGCTATCAATACGCGGCGGTTCTGTACCATTATTCGTCTCCGTCGTGTTTGGCACCATCACAAACGCTGCGGATTCCATTTCTGAAGAAACTGCTCTCACTTTGACGTATCCAAATCAATGTATAAATCAGAATAGCGTTGATACGACGTCCAAGGACAGTTCATCCAAATCAGTGTTCCCCATCAAAGGTGCTCAATGGGTATTAAATGATTTGGATAATACTAAGCTGTGTGTGGTATGAAAGACAGCTGTTGGCCCGCTGCGTCCGTACAAAAGAGGCACCTGAAACCATAGGAACAGGTATGAGGTATTGGTCGTCGATAATCCGCATCTGCTTGCGCAACATAGATTCTGCATGATACACTTTGATTCGGAAACCAGAGTGTCCTCTGCCACTTGCAATGTTAATGCAATGTAACAATACATGCCGTGATATTGGGTACGTGAATCAGCCTTTATTAAATGTTCTAAGTCCAAGTGCTATCTTATACAGATGTATTTGTATATGAGATCTTGAGTAGCATTTAGTAGATGGATGCTGATGACGTGGTAGTATGGGCGATCAGTGTCCTCATTAGTTACAATTCACAACGGTCACGGTGTTGGAATCTACATTGAAATGTCGCTACAATTGTCACGAATACCCTGATCATCCATTCTATCTTCATTACTTGTATATGAATCAATATTCATTTTCATTACCTATTATATTCTATAACTGATATCGTGAACATAATTAAGCCTTATTGTCATAGCTTTTGTAATCAAGGTTATATTTAATCAACGCTCAAAACTAATGTCACTAGCCGTAGAAATAAAATATATAAGCGAAATATAAGCGTTGTATTAAATCACACACATAAGGAACAACATTCTCTTGATAACAGTGATAAGGTCCAAATTTAAATCAAATGCCACAATTGATACCAGCTTCAATACAGACCTTGCTAATTCCAGTCGTCTCCGCTCAACACAACAGCCACACAGATTACCGCGAAGCACTCACTCACTCCACGAACTTTGCGGGTCAAGAACTTTTTTCAACAGGTGCTGTGCTTCGTCTGGCCTGCTAACAGATTAACCCTCTGTCACCATGTAAACGTTGCCCTGGCAATATTCCAGTTTATACGTACAACGTGTTCCTCGCGTACGTCTCTGAATGGACTATCCAAGAATGAACATTAACAATAGTGTGCCATCAAGACATTTGTTATCCGAGATTGTTGATACTTGGCTAAATATCTGCAAATATCATTAACAGCAAACTGTTTGTAGATAAATCGCTCCCGAGGATTTCCACACACATATATCCGACTTCTCTAAGAGGTTTACACACGTTGCTCTCTTGGCCTCCTCAATCCATAGAAGTATATATGTCACTGATATATCCGGATTAGCTGGTCACGTGGCCGTGATATCACATAATACGACTTTGGGGTTGGTGCAATTCCTACCACTCGGCAGCAATGCGCTGTCTGCTACTGAACTGACTCTGCCGAAGGTTGAGACGGGCTCAGAGCCGAGCTGTGTCTGATGGCTAATTTTAGATGGAATGGGATGCGGAAAACTGATGATCTCCTCTCCCCCCTGTGGTGTGTGGAGAAACTTTGCGTTCTTAGAATCTTGGTCGCATGCGCCTGTGGACCTTCACCCTGTGAACACGATCTGGGCATTTTTTTGGGTAATGTGTTTTGTATTGGGTTTTCTCGAGAAGTATATTTTGAGAAACATCGCTGCTGTATGTCGACCCTGTTTTTCTTCCCTTATCTGAATTTGAGTACGGCATCAGAGCCCCGTTGCCGGAGTTAGATGATGGCGATAAGACAATATACTGCTACGTCTTGTGGGATATTTTTGATAACTTTGTAACATACTAGCTGAGAAAAAGGAAGAAAGGTTCTGCAGTAATGCAACCTATACTCAATCCTCTTTTGCCACTGACCCCTATTAATAATGTCGGTATAATTTGGTACGTGTCGCTTCTGTTTCATATTTATTCACCATCATATGACCTAAATGAACATCTATTGTCACAGGCATGGTATGTATTGTAAATGATAGCCACATTACTCTTTTCATATCACAATAATTAATAAAAGCGACAAAACCTTTTCAATAATCATAAAAAATATATACTAAAAGCAGAGTCCATTGCACGAGTCCGACTATATCAAGAGCATGTGTATTAAATTTTGTGTATTCGAGTCATTAGCAAATAGACAAGCTAACGGGATCGGGTGGTCAGTCTCGCTGACTTGGTTGATGCATGTAATCGTATCCCCAATTGCGTAGATCGATGCTCATTCTGGACTCGAGTATTTACAGACCGCCGTCATACAGCTGGAATATCGTGCGGCGTCAAACAACAAACATAAGCAAATAGTGAAATTTGCGAAATGTGAGCGAATCCTGACCCCCCTCCCGATGTTCATCTGACCAAACAAGGGAACATATGGTATAAGAGGAAATACTTTACAACATAACTACACATGGAAATAAAGATCACAGTTATATAATTGAATATTGATAAAGTTTGTGTCTTTTGTTATCGTGTCGAGGAATTAATACGATGCGTGGTATGTGCGATGTATGGAGTGCAGGGAACAGGATAGTCAACGTCATAAACCGATAAGTCTGCTTCTCAATACCAGAAGGAAAATGTTTATTATTATTATGTGTGTCATGATTACTTTATTTCTGACTCATAACCAGTTGTAGAATAGTCTCAGTATTGAATAATCTCTTCACTCTTCTATTTGTACTTAGTACTAATATGTAGTAAAGGCTCTTTGAGAACCGATTCAAGAGTAGTGTCCATGTGACACCATCTGCCATGACGTCATACATTACGTCAATTACATGACTTTTTTTTGCTTAGGTATCATGTCAACAACGATGCTGTCTCAACAAATCTTTATCCACCGTATGGTCCGTATTGATGCTGTTATCTGTTTCAGCTCGAAGCATTCGGATAATAAAAGTACATATCATAATAAGAATAAAATTAATTCTAAAGGACATTTTGTCGCTTTGATCATTAGCTCAAGAATGTATTACAGGCGATAAACACATTACATTTGTCAAATGCCAACAGCTTGTTAATGATAATAGCTATCAGACATAAACGATTAGCACGTTTAAAATTGACAAAATGTCACTGCTTGCCATGGCTGTGAGATTAGTAATGTATGTACCGACAACACCTGTTGTGGGAAAACGTTTTCTGGTTGCGTGTTTATACGTTATCATTAATTACATATTTAAAAAAATGTATCTTGCGTAATAGAGTGTTCTGTGGAATAAAGTCACTGCGGTGTGCTAAAATCGTGATACAGTCAGAACTGTATGTGTTTGGCTTGGTTTGAAGGAAATCTGGTGATTTCTTTTGTTCATTTTTAATCCTAAAACTTCACGACTTTACGTAGATTAAAATCCAACAATATTCATTTACACGATATTTTGTTATCGATTTTTTATAAGGCTATATAGTTACAAGTACCCTTTAGATGAAGTGAGTTAATGTGTATAGAATCAATTGTGATGCTGTCAAACATCTTACTTTGTTTTCGAAGGGAGAGAAATTAGTTTAGAAACGCTGTCGTGAATCACAGCTTGGAAATCCTGTTCTTCACACATCCTGAATGTAATAAGTATCTTGCGTATAGGGTTGGATGGTTCAACCAAAACAAATAATGTTTTCGTTTTCGCGAAAATTATCTATTTGATACAAACATTTATTTTTGGACGGAGTTGTTATATATTCAAACATGCACGAAATTAACCTGGCTTCCAGACCCGCCATTTATTCCTTTCTTGCCCATTTTTGTCCCTTGGGCGTGCCAGGACCCGCTGATCATGGGTTCGAGTCCCAGATTCGTACTATGTCCCTTGGTCCATCCTGAACAGAACATATTGCATAAGATGCAATTCCAATGCTGTATTATTAATATAATAGCTATAAATGCCGCTTGATATATTACCACAGCAAGTGAGTGAGTGAGGTGGGTTTAACGCCGCTTTTAACAGTATTCCAGTTATATCGCGGCGTGTAGCTTAATGTTACCACAGCAAGACAAACGTACAAACTTCAAAACGAGTGAATGTAAAATATCTAAACGTCTTTGATTTTGATTTTTGAAATAATGACAAGATCCTGCCTGACCAGTAACGCGGTGTCTGTATACTAACAAGCAGCATCTGGTTCTCCTTTCTTTGATAACAGGAAATGCTTACGCAAGGATGACGGTGTGGGTAATCTTAAATGCGCAGATGGTTCCTGGGGAAATCCTCCCAATTTTTCATTCTAGATTTTTGACTTCCTAAATAATATACGCATTTCACTATTTAGGAAGTTCAACGAATTCCGATATACTTAATGTGTGGAAACTACGAATTACACAACAATAATAATAATCTTGATAATAATAACAAAAATAACAGCAACATCAAAACAACAACAACAACAACAACAATAATAATAATTATTATTATTATTATTATTATTATTATTTTCATTATTATTATTATCATTATCATTATTATTATCCAAGACATTGTCAGTGGATACCCAGCTTTGGCACAGAAACAACATCTCAAGTGAAATGATGGAGTGGCTCTATCCTATATTACCGTATTCGCCATACTTGTGGTTTTGACACAGAAGTCCATCCATGGTACGACCTAGAATATGTAGAGGGCGACATTGAAAATAATAAATACAAAATTATTTGGAATATGCCCCTATATACAGCCTCAGACGTATCCAAGCCAACAAACCTGATCTTGTCCTTTTTGATAAATCCAATGAAATAATTTATATTATTGAATTTTCTGACCCCTTTGACACTAATTGGATTGATAAAATTCAGAAATGTCACTCTTGCATCCCAAGTACCAAGTTGTCCGACTTCTCTTTGTTCTCGAGATCGGTGCCTTAGGTTTGGTCACGGATATATACAAGTTCGCGGTTTGGTACCTTCTGATCTGTTGACTGACATTGGGAGGGTACCTAGATTTGCAGCCAGGATTACAGCCCTTCTGACAATCTGGGTAATGCAGAAGGCTGCAGTGTTAGGGAGTCTTCACATTCTCAAAAAGGTTCTTGATGGGTTTGACAAGGCAGCGCATTCTGTGAGAAGTCCCATTCACTGTCTGGGCTGCGTGTAGAAGGGGCAAGGGTCCTGAGCTGATGATGAGCTTAACCAGCCTGACTGTGACAGGATCATCCAAACCCTCATTGGTGCATTTTCTATTTCATTCTGTAAATAGTAATAATAATACCAATCAATCAATCAATCAATCAATCATGTGCTTCAGTGTGCACGTGGGGCTGGACAGGAACACAAGCCACCACCATGAACACTTACCTGCATCAATTTATGAGGAATCACCCAAACCCTCTTTGCTGCATTTTTGTGTTTTTTCAATCCGGTCAACGGGGTATATAGTAGATACTGACATTATGATAATAATATGTTATAAATGGTATGATTTATATTAAATGTTATCTATGTGTGATATATTCGATATACTATAAGAATATATAGTATAAGGAAATACCCGAAGAACTACTTAAAAACAACATTCGAAACGTTTTCACGATAACGGACCTTGCCGGTCACCATGGCCATCACAGACATGACTGAAGCGAATCTGTTCTCTGACGTACTAAATGTCCTAGCTTCAACTACCTTTATATAGGGTCGGTTAGGACCATCGGATTCCGTTCGAAGGATATAATATCACCTTGTATCATGCTTCCCAAATCCCCGTCAACTGGGCGTGGATTGATGCTATTAAAGTAGATTTATAAGGCTCCGGCATTCGGAGCATTAAACACAGCCGGGGGGCCATTACTCTATAAACACATTCGTGTGTTTTAGTTTACAGTCATTAAAGGTAACCACAGCTTGGGGAATGTAAAGAAACGCGGAACTGGTGGAGTCGGCTAATGTTAGGTAGTAATATGAGAGGAAAAGCACAGAGTCTGAACGGGGAGCAAACACACGCTAGGAAGCTGTTTACATGGCAGTGAACGAGAACAGGATGCATTGTCTGAACGCTTATTGCAAGGTATTCATGATAACGATGTATAAACGGTTCCAGTTCCCATGATCGTCTTAATGAGGATTGAGGATTGGGTGAATACAATGTCTGACCCGAGGATGTGGGCTAGTGGATCATGCTTTCAACCATTGCTTATTTATATAGGCCGTAATATAGCAGGAATAATAATGAAAACGACGTAAACTTCTTCTAACAAGTAGTATACTTTCCTTACAAGAGAGTCATTATTAAGTGCAATGAAACTTGGATTTGTAATGTCAACTGTGAATCATTCCATGATTGTCCCGGCAGTCAGGGGGTTAATGATCGTAAAGGTATGCGTAGAACATCATAGGAAAGCAAATAGTTAGAACGAGTGAGAAAGTGAGTTGGGTTTAAAGCCGCTTTAAAAGAATTCCATTTAAACCACGGCGTGTCAACTTGATGTGGGAGGAAAGCCTGAAGTAATTAATGCAGGTCATAGACGTTCAACTCTTTGGTGAAACCCACGAGCACGGGAATGGTGCTGACA